CAAATCTATGCAATCATTTTTGAAAAGCACTTGCAGTCTTCACGATTTCTATAACCAAGTTATAGGCAGATTACACAAGGTTTCAGATTGGATGATTTAATCAAAAATCTTTTGTGATAAATGATACCTAAGCAAGAGAGTTCCGAGGCATAGATTGGACGATTTAATCGGAAATCTTTTTGTGATAAAGAGTAAGTTTAGTTGGAATAGGGTCCAACCAAAACAAAATGACACAATATACTACAAAAAAAAAAAGCACACTACTTTAGAAGTTGAAGTTTAATATGATTCGATGAATGAGTTCATTGTAAAGCTATGATGATATCTGTCATTCAAGGATCACATAGAAATCTTTGTGACTTAGAGAGTATACTTAATCGAGCTAAGAGACTCTATATCACGAAAGAACACCAATCATATACTCCAAGATATTTAACTATACCTAGAGTAAAGTCAACTATTGATATGATAGTATTCGCAAAAATTACACAAATTGAGTTTAGTCGAACCCATTAATAAAGTCTTTTTTCTGAGCTAAATATGAATTGTCACACTTCAGCTATAAGACTATATTATTCTTGAAATGAGATTTGGATTTGGATTTAGTATTTGGATATCGGAACAATGTAACAACAACTATGATATAATGTTTTAATATACTAGGATATGATCATAACATCAATACTTCTTGTGTTCAATATTAACATGTTTAATCCATGAATAATCTTATTATTCTAAAAGTTCATAGTCGGTTATAATTATGAGAGCAATTTTGATGTAAGACTAATATGAATTGGATTGGTTGACTTTCACTGGAAATTGGGTTGTAACCAAATTTCATAGGTACTTATCAGAGAACTGGTATTAACTGACTCGCATCAAGATCATCTCACGGATCGCTATCATGAATGATACTTGATTAAAAGGTAATATCTTTGTATCCTTAACACCTGAGATATATAGTGGGACTTAAGTGTAGGGAGTATTATGCTTAGATATGGTCAAACGAAGGTCTTTAATCGGATAGTTATAAAAGCCATTTTCAAGTATGATATGAACTATACAAGAGGCTTATGTAGTCAAGATGAGATTTGTTCCTCTTATATGTTGAGAGTTAGACATCTAAGGCATCTTACCAAAAGTTGAACACCATATGAGATTGGTCGTGATCCGTATCTCATGTTCAACATGATGTCTATGACAAAAGGATAACTAACAAACTTACCTTATACACGAATTATAGCTTGGAGATTTTTAGGAATTTGGCGTTGATAGAATGGCACAAAGTCGTATGTTGATGGGAGCAGTGAAATGTCGCTAGACGTTCACCACTGTCTATATCAGCCTAATATGAATCTTGCACAAGTAGGAGATTGAAAGATCTGGTATGCTCAAGAATCATATTAAAGTGATATTGCTAACTAACATATGATACTAATGGGTCACACTGACAACACTTGATACAATTGATTATTTATTAGAAATTGATTTTAATAAATATTCAATAAACTCTTATAATTAAATTGCAAATTATTTACGAAATAATAATTTTCATTAGCAAGTAACATCACATAATTCATATGGTATGAATTAATAAATCATGCACAACATTTTGGACTAGATAAATTCTTTTGTCTTTTTACCAAAAAGTTAAAGCTAATATTTTATAAACTTGATTTCTAAAATATAAAGTTTTTGTCATCTTTTGACTTCTTAATTTCGAAATTGAGGAAGAAGAAAGAGAGGTATGGTTTGTAGCTTATTTTAATCTAGGGAACATACTTTAGAAGTATGGGATTTAATTATTAAAAAAAAAGACATGCCTTTTGATTATTTAAATAAAAGCATGGCTTTCATGATTGTTTAAGAAAAAGAAATGAAAGCATGGCTAGTCTTACAAGCATGGGAGACATGTTTTTCTAAAGTGCTAAATGGTTAAGGACTTATGGACTTTTTCTTCATGCTATAAATACTAGCTTCGTGAGACTTTCGTTCTTGCTCTTCTTTTGGACACAAAACTGTGGGTTGGAGAGAGTATGCATACTCTCTCCATTTTTTTCATCCGCCTGAAGATATTAATTGAGTTTATACGCTATTGAAGTTAAATACATTGGTTATGAACTTGAAGCTTAAGAGTTAAGAGTTTTCTTACAAGACTAGCCTCTTAAATCAAGTTGACAACTTGTCGGTTTCTCAATGGTTCCACATTCTCTATCAACTTCCTAGCATCCCTTTGAGGATTGAAAGTCTACAAAGGTTGTTAAACACTTCTTCCTCATTAGTGCTTATTTTCTTTCCAAACATTGCAAGAAGATTATTGGTAGGTTATAAACTTGTTTATGTTATTCAAAATTTATTAAACCCTTCCGTTGCTAAATCTTATGTTGTTGAAACTAATTTTTGAATAAAAACCCAACACTTCTAAGATTCAAAAAAGGCGTAGGGTTATCAGAGTTTAATTATTCAAATTTTAAATCCTATTAAAATAATAATTAAGGAAACTAGAAATCGTTGGGATACCTATCAAGATTTGAAAATAGGGGGTGTAGCTAGGGTTTCAGAAAACCCTAGCCAAGTCGAAAACTCAAGCCTTAAGGGTTTATTTTCAATTAACCCTATATTTGATCAATTCACAATTATGCACAATCAACATAATATAAAGGCTCTAACACCACTTATGGGTTTTCTAGGTTAGAAAAATTACATATAAGCAGAAAACACTTAAACCATTAAGTTCGCATGCAACCTAGAAAGGATCTATGTTTTCTCTATTGATAACAATAAACAATGAACATCAAGTAACCCTAGAGAGAAGCTATGAAAATCGAAATTAACATAAGGTTAGGATTTAAATAACTTTTTGATTATTATGGCAAATAATCAAATCAAGTCCTCTAAAAGTTCCTTGGAAAGCAAGCACCAAATGCTTGGATGCCTCTAATGGTTCACGCTCAAACATTAGTATTAAAAGACACTTGTGGAGAGAGGAGGAGAGTGTAAATTTTCATTCATAACACTCTTGGAAGAGAAAACCATGAAAATTGATGCCCAAGAGGTCCTATTTATAGTATTTGTAACTTATGAACAAAACAAGATTTGAATAATTAAGTAATAGATTTAATTCCATTTCAAATCTTTTCTTTATTATCATTTAGGAGGCTTCTGGAAACCTTAGAAAGGCTCCCAAAACCGTCCATGGCATGATGCTTCTAGAATTGTCTCTTTTGCTCAACTATTGAATAATTACAATTCACCCATTGCACCTTTAACTAATTCCAATTAATCATAAATTAATTTCAAATTAATTTTGATTAATAATTAATCAATTCTAATCGATATCATATTAATTTATTAATCACATAATAAATTAATAAACCAACTGTCTATTTCCAACTAATTTATTAATCATATAATATATTAACAAATTATTTTCTTATAATTTTTAATTAGTTGATTAATCATATACTAATATAATAAATTATCCTCTCTCTATAAGTATCATTCTAATCAAGCTCTAGTTATAAGGACAATCCAAAAAGGATTTTGTTTCTAATTACAAAAATATATCAATTTACTTATTCAATTAGACACATTAATCTAACACCATGAATAACTCAAAAAACTTGTTTCAGAAAATCAGATTCTTATATATTAATATGAAAATAACGTTTTAAAAAACTCAATTATTTTCCATATAAAAAAATTCATTATTTTCTCATAAAATTACAAAGCAAGTCAACAACATCACAGATGAGGAATTAGGACATAATAGAGGACAAAGTATGACGAATTAGGGTAGGAAAAAGATAAATCACCACTTACCATGGTGTTTTCGTTGAATTTTAGAGAAGGGATGTGATTGCCGATGGATTTTAGATAGTCGAGTATACACGACGTCGAAGACCAGTCGACTCATCGAGTCGATTTTCAGCAAAACGAAGGTTGTGAAGACCAACAGAAGGGCGTTGACAGGTGGAAGGCAACCGTCAGGTGGCAGACGGTGAATCTCTGTCGACGAAGCTGATGACAGGCATTGCCATCAATCAATGCCAATTTCAATGGGAGCTATGAAGAATAAGGGAGAGGCGGTGGGATTAAACAATTGAAGCGGCAATCGTTGAAAATCAAATAAGTCAATGACCATCCCACCGGCTAAAAATATTAGCCGATTAATCCATAGCATCAAACCAGCCAACAAAGGAAAAAGTGGTTTGGCATGATGTATATAAGCATTCTTGAAATTTGTTGTATCTATAATTACCAAAGTAGAGTGCTTCTCCCTTAGTCCCTTTTAACAAATGTAATCTTATATTTTTAGTCCCTGATCTTTTATGTCTATTCCATAATTAATCACTCCAAAATATTTTTCTTTTTATTCCCTGATTAGAATTTCATTTTATCTCGCAAGTTTCAAGTTTCATAATTTTTTCCATTTTGAATTCGTTTTTAAATGTAATCTTAAATTTTTAGTCGCAGACCTTCTCTTTTTTATTTCATAATCCACCTCAAATCTATCATTTTATTCGTTGTTTGGAACTTCTATATTACCTCTTAACTTTTACAAATTCTTCTTTGTATTATCGAAATACCTTATGAATATTTTCGTGGTTTATAACGATTGCAACCGAAATTAGTTTCAAAATTGAAAAATATTTCGAATATTTAATAGAATCTTTTTATACACAATTATTTTATTTACATATTTCTATGTATGAATGTGTTCGAAGAATTTTTCCTTTTAACTAAATGTTTTTTTTTTAATTAGTTTTTTATAGCTTTTTATATATGAATTGTGTTTTTCAAACAAACACATGTTCTCAGCAGCAACCTAAAAACATGGCAATCTAGTTATCTAGTTAACATCAAATACAAAAGAAGTTAACATCAAATACGAAAGTCGAAGGGACTAAAACAACAAATAAACACAAGTCCAAGTCTAAACCTCTACATATATCGTCAAGTCACAACTAACTAAAGACAAACTGCACTCTCAATATCTCATGACCACATCCGAAGAAACCACCCACCGCCAGCCCTTCCACAAGTTTTTTGACTGTTGGCTCCGGGAGCTAAATACCAACCTTGAACAGCTCGTCTCCGCCGCCAACCTCCATCATGATGATAATCATCATCATATCGAAGACGACTCAGGTTCATTCTCGCTGATTGATAAAACTATAGGACACTACGAGGAGTACTACAAAGCCAAATCAAACGGCGCAAAAGAAGACGTGCTTTCGATGTTTATGCCTCCATGGTTAACAACGCTCGAGGATTCCTTTCTGTGGATCGGTGGATGGCGGCCGACGACGGCAGTCCACTTGCTGTACTCCAAGTCAGGGATCCAGCTTGAGGCCAGACTCGCTGATCTAGTTCCTGAATTAAACTGCATGGATTTAGGAGATTTGACTTCGAATCAGATGAAAGGAATCGATGAATTACAGAAGAAAATCATCCGTGAAGAAAGAGTCATATCTGAGAAAATGGCAAGTGTTCAGGAGTCAGCGGCAGATACCCGCATGGTGGATCTATCAAACATGGAATCAGAGATGATAAGAAATAACGAAGACGATGGGAGGAAGGATAGTGATGAAAAAGTGGAATCGGAGCTGGAGGGAAAGAATGATAAATTGGTAGAGATGTTACGCATGGCAGATGGTCTGAGAATGGAGACTTTGAAGTCCGTGGTGGAGATACTGACGCCGTTACAAGCGGTGTACTTTCTAATCGCTGCTGCGGAGCTCCACCTCCGGTTACACGACTGGGGCCAGAAGAAGGACGCGACTTAATGGAATACCTTCAATCCATTTTCTGCAATAATATAAAATCGTAAATATAAGAGCAAACAACCTTAAAATCATCCTCTGTAATAGTTTAAAATCAGATTCAGAATCGTCAAATAAACCGTGTCTTGAGTTTCATCGATCTATATTGAACTCGCACATTCTTTGGTGATTTAATGATAACTAGATGAAGGTACCCCACACTCAGATTAGGTTGAATGGAATCCAATGTCATCAAGATTACTATCAAATAAAAATCACAAGAACATTTAATTGGGTTTTTCGAAAGATCAAGTATACCTAATGTGCTCCTTGATACGAACAATGAGGATATCTTTCTTGCTTGTTAATCTCAAGCCGTGTTTCCTTAGATACAGCTTACATCGTTCCATTTTCAGCTTCTCCACCTGACCAACTGCCAATAAAAACATAAGCATTCAACAAAAGGCATTTCAACAAACACTTTATCTTCTTTTTCGTGAATATAAACCTATTTTTATGACTAACCTTCAAAAAAGATCGATCTCATAACCATTTTTTGTCATTTTCACACAGATAAAGTTAGAAAGAAGAAAAACCATTTTGCCTTTCTAAGTCTTTATTACATGAAATAGAAATTTAGGTAGACATTTGTGTGAGTTCAACCCAAATATATACCTTCAAAGAGTGTAAATCTCCATGTATTAACATCGGTTAAGACCGTAATGTTATAAACACGCTTTAATAGTAACAAAATGATGAGACCTTCCTCATGATCCAAATCAAATATGTTAAAAGGAAGATTGGAGATTAAAGGATCAACAAGCCTCATAACACTACAAGAAATAAGGGCAATAGCAGCAACGCCATTAGCGGCGACGCACACTATTAGCGGCGACATGTCATTTGCGCGTTACTTGTCGCCGCTAATAGTGTGTGTCGCCGCTAATAGTAAAAAACCATGATCCGTGTCAAAAAGAACCGGTTAACCGTGTTCGTTGATCTGGACCAAATCGAACGGCCGAAAACCGTGTTCGCTCAACGTATTCGCGGCGACATCAATGGCGGCGACGGCATCGCCGCTAATGCTTCAAAAAAAAGGCGCTATTTTTTCCCTCGTAAGGGTGTCGCTGCTAAAACCCTATTGTCGCCGCTAATACCTCCCTGTCGCTGCTAATAAGTGTCGTCGCTAATACTCATCGCAGATATACCCCTCTTCCCATTACTTTCTGTAATCTGTTTCTTTCACTTGCTGTGTCGACTCATATCGAAGAAAAATCACCGGCAACATTAGGGTCTATCACCGGCAACGACAAGAGCACCATTACCGGCGACGGAAGCCTCATCATCGGCGACAGGTAATTTCCGATTTTTTATCCCGATTTCTTTTCTGAACATCAACTATATAAGTGATTAACTAATGATTTCGGTGTTTAATTGTATGTATTAAGCTTTGTTAACCTCTAATTTCGGGTTGTCATCAGCACCACCAAACCACCGGATTTTTTTGCCACCACAACACGCCCACAACACCACCACCATTCTGATTTCATTCCACTTCAGGTTCTATTCCATTTTAATAAGTATTCTGATATAATTCTTCATATTGTATGCATCATGTATGTATGTAATTTATTTGATGAATGGAAAAAAATTTGTATAATGAATGTGAATAGAAAAAACCGAAAAAAAAAAAGTAGGATGCAATAATGGAAAGAATGAAAAAAAAATATATGATGTTGTAATGTGTATTTGTATGTATGTTGTGTAAGTGTATTTTTATGTATAATGTGTGTATTTATGTATGAAAAAAAACAAAGTAGAATGCTATAATGAAATGTGTATTTATTTTATTATATGTGTAATTGTATGTCTAGAAATTATGTATGTAGTTTGTGTGTTTGTATTTGGATGTTATAATGATATAGATGAAATTGTATGTATAGAAATTCTTCATATTGTGATTGTATGTATAGAAATTGTATGTATAGAAATTATTTTATTATATGTTTATTTATTTTATTTTATTATATATGTAATTGTATGTATAGAAATTATTCATATTGTAATTTTGCAGGCTATATATGGAATTTAGTTGGGCGATACTCTTTTACGTGATGGCAGATGTTATGGGCTTAGGACATGGAGGTGATGGAGTCGGGGATCCACCACCTCCTGTAGGGTTTGGTCGTGGACAACACGAACAAGATGGTTAGTTTTATCATGATATATTCGTTACCTATTTTTATCTATTTATTATAAGCTGTTGTGACTAATATTTTTAATTATATTTTTCAGCTAAGCTTCCTAAAAAAAGAAGAGGCCTAGCAAAAAACATCCAACTATCAAAGTCGATACGGGCAAACAAGGGAAAGCCTGTAGAATTGGATTTCAACAGGGAGATCACATATTCCCCTGTTGGGAACCATGGTAATTGGTTTACCCGTGAGATTGGGAAGTATATGTGGATGAATATCCCTTTGAGCGTATCTGGTTGGGAAAATGTTTCTCCCACTTTAAGAAATGTCGCATTGGTGCATCTAAAGGTAACTTGGTTAATATTTTAAGTTTAGTTATGATTGGTATTTAATTAACTAACTTTTTTTGAATTTTTAGTATAAGTTTGATTTGGATAAGGTTGACTTGGATCCCGAGCGTGCTCAGTTGTTGCAGAGCATTGATGCAACTTTACAAAGAGTTTATAGAGGTCGGAAAAATAAAGTACATACTTATTTTTAGAATGTCGGGGGGCTTACAGATATCCCAAGGGCATTAGCCAACCCCCCTGATGGTATGTCACATGAAAATTGGGTGCAAGAAGTTGAACATTTTCAAACTCCTGAATTTTTAAAGCGTTCAGTGTCAAACAAAGGAGTTCGTGCACAACAACAAGTTGTAAATAGAGGGGGTCGTGCTCGTATAGCAATGCATGTTTCAAAGAAGTAAGTTATGATATATTTAAATATTTATTTAAATTATAATTAATCTAATTTTTAATGTTAAGTAGGACATCACTCGAATCGAAGCATTTCGTAAGGCTAATACTGATCGTCAAGGGGTATTTACTAGTTCTGCAGTCGAGCAACAATACGTAAGTGCTTAATTTGTATTTTTTTCATATAAGTGTTTATATTGTCAATGGGTATTTAGTAATCTAAGTTTTATGATGTTTGTCATTTTTTGAAAATACAGAATGCTTTACTCCTTGAGATCAGTCAACAAACTCAAGCTTCTTCTGAAGCCAGCGGTCTAACACCAAAGGATACACAAATTTGTTTTGAAAGAATATTGGGTGTTCGATGAGGCCATATTAGAGGCATCGGGGGTAAACCTTCTACGATTGTGTCGATGTACGATCAGGAATGACCACTGACACAACCACCACCACAATCACAGGTGACAAGACTATTTAATTTTGGTAATTGCTTCAAATGTTGGTAATTATTGGTTTACTATTAGGAATGTTGGTAATTGTTAGTTTGATAATATTTTATATGTTGGTAATTGTTAGTTTGGTTATACTTTGATATATTGATATTTTGTAGTTTGGTAATTGTTAGTTCATGAAAGTGCAATGCTATAATGGTATTTTGTAGTTTGGTAATTGTTAGTTATTGTACAATGCTATAATGTGTTATATGTAATATGTACATTTGATAATTGTTAGTTTTTGAAAGTACAATGCTATAATGGTATTTTGTATATAGAATGTTATAATGTTGGCTTAACTAATTATAAGACTATGTTGTTTTCTTTGTAGTTAGAAATGCTTCAAACAACGTTAAAAGATCCGACATGTAGTGTCGCACTTGAAGATTGGTTTCGTTCATTGCCACAAAGAATTGAAAATGAAGGAAACGAGGAGAGCGACGATGACAAGTAGCTAGTTGTATGATTTTTGTATGTTTTGTTTATGTAAGCATTTTAGACTAGTATTTTTGATATTTTGTATTATGCTAAATTGGATGATTATTTTAAATGGATGTTGGATGTTGTATTATGCTAGTATGTTGGATTAAATGGATGTTGGATTATACAGTTTTTTTCAATTAAAATATGAAATATAAAAAAAAAAAAAAAAAACAAAAAACAAAAAACAATACCGGCGACGCCTTTAGTGGCGACAGTGGGTTATTAGCGGCGATATGTCTTTAGCGGCGACAACTCGTAATAGCGGCGACATTTGGATGATCAGCGACGAGGCATCAGCGGCGACCTTTTAGCGACGACATGTCGCCGCTAATACTATTAGCGGCAACATACGCTACTATTAGCGACGACGCCTGTCGCCGGTAATACACTAATTTCTTGTAGTGTAAGTTGTAGCCCTTTTGAGAATAATAATTTCTGGTGTTTCCAAGTGGGAGGCTTGTAAATCAACATACCTTTCTTTTAGTAGTGAATGAGATGCATGACCATAACGTTAAATCTAAACATTTACTACATGTACCCATATGCCAAAGAACTCCCAAAATCTGATAGATTCTTAAATCAAACTTGATTTTAGTTTAAAGTTATCTATCAAACACACTTTTATCATAAATTAAAAATGTTGGATTAGATGTCTAAGCCCATAACTATAATTGGTATGTACTTGATTTGATATGTAGCATGGTCCTTTTAGGTTTTCTTCACTCATGCAACTTGATAGGATGACTAGTGGAGAGAGAGTAGGATTTATTATATGAATAATAAATTGGTACTCAGAATGATTTTATTAATATATTATAAGATTAATATATTATTTAGAAATCATATTATTAATTAGTAATTAATCAGAAATTAATTTGATATTAATTTTGGGATTAAAGGAACTGATTAATAATGGAGGGGCTATTTTGCAAATTATTGATTGTTGCAAGGCTGGGTTGATGGACTTCATAGAGTGCAGTGAACGAAAATTATAGGTAAGACCATAAGATTTCGTCCAAGGGCTCTAAATAGGAGGTTCATGGGCTGCTTAAGCCTTAAGCAGGAATTAGGGTTTCCTCTAGAAACCCTAGCAGCCCACACAACTATATAAAGAC